CGTGTGTGAAGAATGTATATGTATAAGTATTCTCCGATTAACATTTAAGTGTGTTGATTGAGCGTGGCTAGCTCCGGAGTGGCCGGAACTACTTGCGGAGTTATCCACGCATTTGAAAGACAAGCAGAGAGTGCGTTGCCATGGGCAGCGGTCATTATTGTTTTGAGAGGTCCGTTATAGAAAATAATGACCGGTAGAACGTTTTGAAATTACATTCAAATCAATGGAGCATTCTACTGCTGCTGTGAGGAGCCGTATAATAATGACTTATAGATTGACAGTGTGCTTCTTATGTACCTTGTGTAGAGTATCGTCCCACACCATCCTATAACCGCTAGTACAGTATATAGACAGTTACCGTTATCTGTCTAAGTCAGAGGAAAACTTGTGTGGCTTTTGTGTGCACAGTCCTGCGTCCGCCTGTATTTTACAGTAGGGCTGGGCAATATGGCAAAAAAGTAAAATCTTGATTTTATTTCCTGCTTTGGACAATTTTGATTTTAAATCGATTTTCATTAAAGTTTGCCCGTAAAAATATTTTTAGATCTTTCCGCTCAATAATCAGGTTTCAAAACCATTTTGATTTTGTTTCCCCCAATACAGTCTTGTACAGACTGTGCTGATATTGCAAGTATAATTCATGTGCTGCTGGAACTCTCAAAATATCCTTCATTCGATTTCACGATTTTTTCAAAAGCCGATTAATTGCCTAAATTCGATTTATTGCCCAGCCCTATTTTACAGTGTATGCACAGCTTTTGAAAGCTGCAGTAGCGCTCAGACCTACAACAAACCAGTTTTTGTATGATATCTCTGCCATTGCACTTCAGCAGCGATGAGTTCAGGTGGTTAGAAAAGTGCATAAAGTGTGTGAAGAGGGATTTCATAACCTTTAAACATACAACTGCAACTTCGCAAATGTAGCTTATTGCAGGTAATTTTTTTGAACATAACCTTGCAATAACTTGGACTAAAAACCTGCACTACTATTGCCACTGTTTCTTTAATTGCCATAATATATGTACAGGGGTGACAGTGGCTCAGTTGGTAGACCATCGGCCTTTGAGGCCGATGGTTGTGGGTTTGAGCCCACCACGAGACCTTCTCCACTGACTCCCACTGATGTCTGCTGCCGTTGTGTCCTTGGGCAAGACACTTAAACCTCTTTGCCAATTAGGAGGGTGGAAGTGAATGTTCGCTGCTTGCCTATGTGTATGCATCAAACTGAAATATCCCCATTGTGGGACGAGGACGTAGGACCTTCTCTTATATCCTGAACAGACTATTTGTTTTTTTCTTTTAACACGTTTGCACACTGTTTTTTGCACAAATGAGTGATTCTATCTTTCTATTTTACATTTCCCCTGTGTGAGATCAATAAAGTCTCTCTTATCTTATCTTAACCGAGGTACCATTGTATTGTAAAATCAACTTTTTTCAGACAGAAAAATGAAGAAGAGAGCACCACTTTCACCCAATCAGCTCTCATGGGGCTCATTCTTACATGTATAGGAAAGATAACATGTTTTCTGATAAGATGAAAACAGCAGGTTTTACTTTTACAAGTCTCTTTCTGTTGGAACAAACAACATTAGCTTACTGGGGGTGGAAAGTTAGGTACCCCTGCTTTAATTGAAGTCCCATTGAAGATCCTCGACCTGTTTAGAATTGTAACGTACACTTGGGCAAACCCTGGGAAACTACTGCACACAAAAGACAGAAAACAGATCTGGAGGGCGAGTCCGTTTGATGGCTGTAAGTCGATAGTGATTTTTGTGAGTGTGATTTTATAGACGTTGAATTTCTCTATTGCTATTTGTGTCTGTATTGTGGAAATGGGCGGTGTTTGGAGTAAAGGATACAATGATGCGGCATCATATACATAGAGAGAGGAGTTTTAAGTGACAGTGGATAAAAAAGAGAAGGGAAGACTAGCCCAGATTCATAACAGAAAAGGGACGCTGCAATTGTGTTACTGTTTTTTCAGGCCTTTTCAACTTCAATACTTATTGTCACGTCACAACCAAAAACATGAAGTTCTTATTTTCCTATTCTTTGTGAAAGGCCACCTCAAAGGGTTAGACAAAATGGGATGTGAAAGCAAAATTATACATGAAAAATAAAATAAAAATAAAAAACTCTCACTTGGTACAACTGCAAACCTACCAAGACACGGCCCTCTGCACATATCGGTTTTGTTGACGATCGGTGCCACAGTGTCAGCTGTTTTTATTTATGCTCAGTGTATGTGTATGTGTATTTTATATACTACATCGTATTGTGCTCTTTATTCTGTTGGTGCACACAGAGAACCGTTTTTTTGAAAATGTATTCCAACGCAGTTTTTATACTGCACATGGCAAATAAAATGAATCTGAATCTGAATCTGCACAGACTACCACCATCTCCCCGTTTTTTATTGTTTTTAAAGCCCTTAAAGTTGCCTTTCGTATGAACTTTTTTTACGAATAAACCTTGCCTTGTCTAAGAGTACAGCCTGATACCTATAGTGCACCACATTGGAGGAGGGTTGGTTTGATGGGGTTCACTACCTACGAATACCACGACTACTACCACTTTTCTTGTTAAAAAATATATCCTTGCCCAGAGTTATCAAGTGAGAAAAAAAGCTATGCCTCCAGATTGACTCTGGCCTGGTCTTATTGTCAAAGAATCCCGCCTCACTTCCCTGAGCAGGTGGACTTACAGGTGCAAGGTCCTGGGGATGTGACCCAGAAGAAGGGGAGCGATCTGGGGGAGGCCCGGGTACTGCAGGACTTGGCCTCTTTAAAAGTAGCCTCACCTGCCAAAAAAAACTCACTGAGCTCTTTTGAATGAGCTTAGGGATGTGCCTACAGTGCTTCAAGAAATGTGGTCCAGTTTTCCTTCGTCAGATTTACTAGGTACCCCAACCCACTGGGATCACGACCTGAGGGCAAACAGGGCTCTGGCTGTAGGAGCCGGCGACTTCCGCGGTACACCAGCCACACACATGTCTACTACTACTACTACTACTACCACTGCTACTACTACTACCACTAAACAAATCCGTCCTATATCTTTTAGTAAACACTGGAATGTCCAAGAAAATGATGCACATGCTTGCGTACGTCACGTTTAAGCTTAATTTCAACCCGTTATCTCGACTAGTATTTGTATTATTATTATTATTTGTGTATTTTTTGGAAGGAAAAAAAAAAATGAGTTGAAAAATTGAATACAATTTGTGAATGATGAGAAGAGGAGGAAAGGATTAGCTGTTAAAGGAGTTGGAGAGGTGGATAGAGGACACCTGCCCGTCTGTTTACACTGCGCCCTCTCTGGAGCAAACGAACCACAGCTGCTCTGTAATCGAGACAGACACGCGCTAATGCTAACTAACGCGCGCAGATGAAGATGGATGAGCCACGGCGCGCAGGGAAGAGAGAGAGAGAGGGAGAGAGAGAGACAGAGAGAGGGATAGAGAGAGAGAGGGTTCTATACCTGCTGTGTCTCCCTGGTCTAACTATAAACTGCATATTCTAGATCCACTCGTGACAATTTGACAACTCTCTCCTTCTTTCCGGTTTGTATTGACATAATAGATATATTATATTTCTGTTCTGTTTGTTATTGACAGTGCTGTAAAAATACAATCAAATCATTACATTAAAAGAGTCACCAAGCTTTGAATGATCTTATGAATGATTCTTTTTGTGTCTTAACTGATGATCCTCTGATCTGTGTTGGTGATTTCAATGGTTTTGTGAAGTCCTCTGAGATGACGGCTGTTGTGATTTAGGGCTATACAATAAATAAATTGTATTGTATTGTATCTACAAATATCGGGATTCTTACACTTATTTCCAGGTGTTGTTCCGTGGGAGGTTCAGATTCCTGTCCTGGACTTTTTGTTTATCTTTCAGTTTACAATTTGAAAACAGCTTAAATAAGTCATTGCTTAAATTCAACAGAAAGCTTTTTAAATAGTTTTTGGTTTTGCCTAAAGGAACCTGCTCATTTGACTTAAAACATTTTTTAAACATGCAATTTAAATTTTATTACATTTATCTTGTTTTTCTCACAGTTGTTGGTCTTGAACACGAAGCAAAAATGTCTGAGAAAATACTGCTACTGGCCTTGAAATAAGAAATGTGTCTTGTTCCATTGTCACAATCAAAACAGACTTGAATCAATATAAAACTAGTTGATTCAAGCTTATATTAAATCAGTTTCTGCAGTGTTTCTTCTGTTTGCTGTTGTTAATTGTCACAACACATTAGCGTTATGGTATGATATTCATCCATGTATTTATGTACATAGCTCACATTTTCACTCAGGCCTCAGTCCTTAATGTTTTAGTCCACTTTATTGGGTATATATCCCGTTATTGCATTGACCCTGGTATTGCACATATATACTATATCATATAATATTCATGCCACTTCATATTGAAAGGATAGAGGACCTTTTGCAATGTGTTCAGATGAAACGTTTTTTGTTAGAGGGCCACTTTAGTTTCACCACACACACACAGTAAATCTGTTTGGACTGGGTTTGGACTATTCTGAGCTTTAGAATATATATATATGTATATATTGGGGGATCTGAAGTTGGCTGGATGATACTGTGAACTTTTGTTTATGGCTGCAATTGTTAGTTTGGACACGTCTGGTTGAAGATGTGGTGTTAAGCATGCTGCACCTATGTGAGTTTAAGAATTTGTGATTGCCTCAAGTGGATAATGTAATATCAGTCTAATAAAAAGATTAAATCATAGAATAGGAATTATTAATCGCTATGACTGAATGTACAGTCAAATTTCAATATATGTAAAATATGTTATTATGATGTTTTCAGTTTTCCTCGTCCAACAGGGGGGGGTCCACAGACAGGGCATGCTTTGAGACATATCTCCATTTTTTAAAATTAAATCCACAATTTTGTCTTGCTCCTCGAAGGCTGTGGTTGTGAAATCAGGCTGCACAAGTTGAGTTGTGGCTGCGGCTCTGTTTGTGCAGGTGGGAGTGAGTGTTCGTGGGAGAAGGAACGCTTGACGAGTCCTGCGGCCCTCAGCGGGACCCCGGCCGGAGGAGCGGGGCAGGGGGCGGGGCCTACGGGAGGGGGAGGAGCCGCTGGAGGAGGCAGGGGGACGGCCCTCACACCTGTCAATCAACAACAGATACAGCAGCAGCAGCTTCTGGCAAACAGTGAGTAGAGTTAAAGCTGGGGTACCTGGATTTCAAACATGATCTCAAACACCTCTGGCATTTCATGTTTTAGAACCTGAGATACTATCATTGTCTAATAGTTTTACTTTAGGACGATACATATTGAAGCTGGAGTACCTAACTGTCAAATCACTAAAAATAACGTTCTCACATACTCTCAAAAAAATTATACAATATGGGTTAACAATTGAATCAAGTGGTTTTTATCTTGATCGGACAACACTCTGGCTGTCTTAAAACAAGTTTTGGAGGAGTTATGTGTGGACAGGGAAGTCCGGGCATCTCTGCCCCCGCGACCAGGCAACGGATAAAGCGGAAGAAAATACACGGATGGATTTACATTTCTTGTATCTTTTTAAGACAAGATAATTTGTCTTGTCCCATTGCGAAATCTTGTGTAATGGCAGAGAAAAGTAATGCTAGAATTAAGATACATTTTGCCATATTTGAACATTTTTTGACTTATTGTCCATCACTTTTTACAGTGCATTCATTAATTTTTGACTTGGATAAACGTTTTCAGCAAGAAGAGAGTTTGAGCCCTCACTCAGCTAATCACCTCTCAGTTTTTTTTAAGATTACATTCTGAGAGCTGATTGGAAGAGATCCCAGAACCACCGCAACAGGCTCCTCTCGACGTGGAGAAGCAGCGGCTCTACTCCGAGCTCCTCCCGTGAGGAAGGGAGCGCCCAGCCACTCTACAGAGGAAACTAATTTTGACCGCTTGTATCCGCGAACTCATCCTCTCGGATTTAAATTTTCTGCGGAATAATAATATGGTTTGATTATTCACACATTTACATAATACAAAAATGCCACACACACACACACACACAGTACATCTGCATTACCGCACAGGCTTAAGTCAGCATACGTTTTGAACCGATTTGAACCTCATTTTCACTTTTCAGTAATTCCTTTTGTCCCAAAGTGTGTTTTTGGCATCACATGTTATTAATGTGGCACACCATTTAATCTGCCTCCATCTCCTGTATTAACACGGCCAGGATTAGACACTGGACACTCTGCAAAATCACTTTCATTCATCAACACTTGTCTCCACGCGAGGAGGAGCCGGACAAACGCTTCGCTGCCGCACGTTTGTCACTGCGCGCGGCTCCTGACACTCAAACTGATTATTCCAACGCAACAAGAGCAATCAGTGTTATTGTTTCATTGGATTGAAAGCAGCGTCGGCCATTTTGTTTTTATTTATTCGTGAAGAGAGAGATGAAGTGTCTATTCTGTTTGGATGATTCTTTGAGACTGTTGCTCTTGAAATGGTATTGCCTTTGTTTAAATGAAGCCTCCACACACATCAAATAGAAAATAAAAACACTTTAAATATAATAACTCATTTTAAACTCAGCCATGTCTCGGTGACATTGCATAACTCTTCATGTCTCTTGTGCAAAAGAGTGACTCCATCTTTATTCTGACTGTAATAAGGATTCACGCTTGTTTTCTCCACATGTTGCGTAGCCGCTTGACAACTTCATCCAAGTGGAAATATTGTCTTGCAAAGAGAAATTGCAGCTTGGGTCGATTATTTAACTACATCACTGCAAAAATAGATGCAATATAAGGTAAGAACTGCTTTAATCAAGTGGTTTTTAGGTTCATTTGAGCAAGTTTTGCCAGTGAGACAAGAAATATAGTCTTAATTCAAGAACTGTTGCTTTATTTTTTCATTGCAAGGCAGATATTTCTTGTATCCTCATGAAAAACAGATCATTTTTGTTTCTCCCATTGACCAATCTTATTTTAAGGCAGTGAACATGTGCTCAAATTAAGAAAAAAATGCCAAACTTGAGCAATTTTGTAATTATTTTTCATCCCGTTTTTCAGTAATTGAGCTGCACTCACAGCCCGAGCCTAAACTTTGCCGTTACAAAAACAGGCCTAGACCAGGATCAGGATGGGTTTCTTTTTATTCTTGTATGTCTTCATTTGTTTATTGAATATGGACGTAATAATTTGCATGGGACAAACTGGTGTTAGTCTAATTTTCAACACCAGGGGGCTTTTAAGTTAACAATAGATTAAAATGCATTTAAAACAGACACATTTTACACATGAGAACCACTCTGGCCAGATCTTAGCCACTGTTTGAGCTCTCTATTCAAATTGTTTTTATGAGTCTTTAGTTTGAGTCCAGTGAGGAGATAGTTCCACAGTCTGGCTCCCTTTCAACGAGAACAAATCAATTCAATGTAATTTTGTATACATTTGACTCATGTCCATAATTGCAAACAGTAGTCAACGTGAAACTTGACTGTCGAAAGATGTGCTTAATAAACTTGGGAAGTTTACACGACACATACAAAGTGTAAAGCTAATGCTAGTTTGCCAGAGCTTTTCCCTACAGGACTACTTTATGTCCTTACTTTAATCATCATTCCCCAAAAGTTGAACATAATTTCTTCTGCACATCATGGAGAAACTCCCTAAGAGCTGAGTGAGACCAAAGTGCAACCCCCTAAGACCAACTCAGACCTCAGTCCTCAGCATGTGGTCTGTGGCTCTTTAAAGCTGAGGAACCTAACTTTCACAGAAGATGTAACTCTGTAATAAAACCCCTTTAGTCCCTCGCTCTCAAAACAGTTGTTACGTTTACATGCATAAGATGAGATACATTTTACTGACACATTTGGCATGACATGTGTTGGCCTCCGTTGAATCTTTAGATCAGACATAAAAGTGGAAAAGGGTAAGGTTGTCGAGCGGGAGGTTAAGATCCCAGATTCAGGCGGAGCTTATAGAGCCGTGACAGAACTGGGTTTAATGGATGAGATAAAGGTTAATGCTACTCGACCCCTGTGGTTTTCGCGCCTTGTCTGGTTTTGTTCATCTCATCTGAGAAGAATTAATAATGGCACTTTTTTTCTACATATGACTATCCTTCTTGTTACAATTCCTTTGACCAAAAATACCAAATCTCTTGCTTATATTTTCCTAGATGTAGATTTAGAGCAGGGGACAGAAACCCTGGTGAATGGGTCAAATAAAGAAAACTATGGAGCTCAAAGGATTGCGCACGACTCAATGGACTGCTGTCAGAAGAAGCAACCTTGTAACATGTAAAAAATGTAGAAACTGTATTTATGAAAAGAAATTCAAAATGTGTGATTCACTTCATAATACTCATTCATATATTCTCATTTCTGCTGTTGTTCCATTTATTCAAAATAACAGAGAACATTTGTTTTTTGAGATGAAACCTATCAACTACAACCTTTTTTTTGTTTCTTTTTTTTTTTTTTTACAGATTTCAAACATTTTTGCGATTCAGCTCCATGGAAATTGAATGATTGAAATTGTTGTGAATTTTCAAATAAAAGACCAAAGCATCCCACGCGTGCGGTATATTTTTAAAACTCTTCTTGTCCATTGGGGAATAGTGACATTCCAAGATTTGCTTTCTCAAACAAAACAGGCAGAGGTCTATTCCTAACATTAAGATACAGTATCATTGACGACTAATCATGCTAAAAAGATAATGCATTTTTTATCTATTACTAAATAATCGCAGGTTTTTAACTAAACATTGAAATACCAATGAACAGGACAGTGGAGGAAAGTGGTCTATATTTAAGTCTTTGGTGCAACTGGTCTATGATAATCAGTCTAATACAGCATCAGAATGAATAGAAATATAAACCGATAAGATATTAATGTGTGTTATCATGTACAAACAAATAAAATACATAAAACGGAGAGGGCCACACATCTCACACGGAGTTAAAGGCCAGAGAATAAAAGTGGTTCTTAAAAGTATATAGGAGGATTTTCTACTTGTGGGAGGATCATCAAGACTATTGGTCCTCCTAACTGTCAATCATTCTGGTGATACATGCTTGTCAAATAAGACCAGAGAGTTGTATTCAAAAAGTGGAGAGGGCGGTTCTTCCCTAAAATTTGGGAAAATCTATGATATATACCTTTAAGACGAGACTTCAAACACTCAAGCCATAGAGAAGGCCCTGCCCCCCCAGTTTTCGGACCTCAGCGCGGGTGGTAAATTACTTTTTCTTTTTGGTTCCTGTTAAAAGCCGTGCCGCAGACAGAAAGTGCTGTATTATCATCACCATTGATAAGTTCATTGGCAAAAACAGCCTTACATCTTCAAAGCTAGAAAACACTGGGTTTGCTAAAAGGCTCAGAACAAAATACTGAAAAAGGAAAGGCTCTGGTCTAATGTGATTTTGACACCTCTCCTCCTCTTTAGTGCTGATTAGATAAAGTGGTTGTGACAGAGTGAGAGATTCTGTCGAGGAAAAGCTTTGAATGAGACACTGACCTTTTCCTTTCACCTCCCTCCCCTCTGACCCTTGACCTCCAGGTTTCTTTTCTTTTTGCTCCGCTCGCTCCTCGTTTGTGGTGTTTGATGAACGGCCCCAGGGTTAACTTGAGTTCATAGACACAATCACATCAGCAGACTGACCCCTGTCTATCCTGTTCTTGGTTAAAAATTGGTTAGATCTCTTTCCTTGCTTTTGTTTGCATGTTCTCTCTATGTCTGTGTAGGTTTCCTCTGGGTGCTTTGTTTTTCCTAGCACTAAAACAAAGGAGCGAGTGAATGGTTGGTGGTGGTCGCAGGGTCCGAAGCATAGACAGTAGTTGTCACATGTAGTGTTTGCTGAATCCAGACGTCGCTTGGAAGAGCAGCCATATTGGATAGTTTTCGAGGCAAATATCTTATATGGGCATTTGTTTCAAGGCATGTGATTGGGCAATCATTATGGATCAGAAAAAAAAAACGATATTAATATTGCATCAGGATCATAGAGGGTGCTTAACCATAGATTTTTAAGCCCAAAATGGTGAGTGTGACACAAACGGTTACGGAGTTGGAGCACTTTTCTCTGATTGAGCTAGCAGGTTGTACAGTCTATTGTATGAAACGCCAATCCGTGCGGTGCTCCCGCTTCCACCAGTGTGCCCCAGGGCAACTGTGGCTTTTTGTGACTGTTGTTAGTTGTTATGCACTTTAGGGTTCTCACACTTCAATAAACTTATCTATATGTAACAATTTTGTAGGAAACAGACACAGAAGAATTGAATTGCGCTGTTTTAACTGTATTTCAATGTATATGATGATACACTTTTTGAAGTTTGAAAGGCTTACGATGAAATGCTGTGTGACAAATTCAAATACACTAACTTTTCATATATTTTTTTTTTTTATTGTTTTTATTGCAGTAGTGTTTTTTGGGTATACAACTTTGATCCAACAATACTTGAATGTATCTTCTCAATTTAAGAAGTGACATGTAGTTAAATACAATGTTCGCAAAGAAACATTAAAGAATTTCAATTTTAAATAAACTTAGCTTACTGCAACTGGGCTTAATGTTGAAACTTCTTCACTGCAGGACTGGAGCTGCCGTTCATGATGATGCCTCACCCGCTCTTGCCCATGGGGTTGCCGCCAGCGTCTGTTGCCATGGCGATGTCTCAGATGAACCACCTCAGCACCTTCGCCAACATGGCCGCCGCGGCACAACAGATCCACACGCACGTCCACCGCGCCCCCGTCATTAAGGTGCAAAAAGGACAAAGATACTCAATGCACCCTTATCAGTTTACATTTTGTACTGCACGTTGGTTTGACATTTAGTTGACTTTTAACTGTGTCTCCTTGTCAATGGCTTGCGCAAACTTTTATGTTAGTCAATAGGTTGTGTTTATGTTGTAGAGTTCTAGTTCAGTTGGACGGCAGGTGCCAATCCAAATGTTTTCCCAGAACATACTGTAATAGTAGTTAGATTCACAAACCTGCCATACGAAAAAGAAGATATGGAACGACAGGTTTTGTTTCATCTGGATTGGTAGAAATTAGAAGCCTCACTTTTGTTCCCCACCACCACAATTTTAAACTATAGCTCTTCGGAATGTTGTGTTGTCACATGAACCCTAGCTATTCTTCCTGTTTTAGTAATCCTGCATTTTTATAATTCTGCACTAAACAAAATGCCCTTGCATATATAGAATGTGTAGTGTGGTTTAATAGTAAATACCACACAATAGTTAACAGAATACAGTGATGGGAGTAAGTTGTTCCTCATATTAGAGTCAGATGAAGATTTGAACCAGACCAAAACCAGGACTGTGTGTGTTTCAGGAGCGTGTGTGCGACAGTCCGTCTCTGTCTCCATCAGGGGATGAAAACAACACTCCCCTTCAGTCTCAGCCCAGCAGCTCGGCCTCCAGCTCCCCAGAACGACTCGGTAAATTCAACTCTTTTGTTAACTATTATATGTTCTATTCAATTTATTTTTGTATGGCTCTGATTCACAACAGCACTTGTCCCGTAGGACTTGAATGAATGAGTACTTCATTTCGAGCAAGGGCTAGGGCCATGACTTCACCAAAATTGTCAATTTGCCAACAACCGATCCAACAGAGGATCAAACAATTCGAAGACAGGAAATGTAATAACACGTACAAGTCATTGATCCATGGTTTAATGTTCTTTAGTCCATGGCCTTCGTTGAGTTAATGCTCACTTATAAATACTATAGAAACTGTTGTACTCCTATTCCACGCCTTCAAATGATTAAAATAAATGCTAACAGATAAAGATAACTACAGTGCCTTGCGAAAGTATTCGGCCCCCTTGAACCTTATAACATTTCGCCACATTTCAGGCTTCAAACATAAAGATATAAAATTTTAATTTTTTTTCAGTATGACGAGTATGACATAAATACTAGATTGTGAGTCTTCGTTGGCACTGACATAGTCCAGTGGTTGTATCGATGGACTACCAATCTGGACACTGGGGTTCAAATCCCACCTCAGACACATTTTCACTCTCAAAAGGGCAATTTATGTGTAGTGAGCAATTGTCACCTGTAGAGGGCAGTATTGTGTTGGGCATCAGTGGAGAGAAGAGAGAAAAGGCAGTCCTGTGGCATAGATCCATGGTTTTCAATGCATGGGCGTAACCCGCTATGACGTCACACACAGGTTAGAGCATAGACAGCTTAAATTCATGAAAAACACGTTCTTTTTATAAAATATAGGATTTTTTTTGCCGGAATCTCTTTCAGATTGACATTGTCATGCAATTTTGATATCCACATTTTTTTTTTTTAAACCTGGCATAAGGTCTTTAATACATAACACCATTGTGTCTATTTGGTTTGCAAACAAGAATCTGATTTTTCTTTCAGATTTTTTGTAATCACCATAATAAATCTGTTCTTGAATCTGTTGCCCTGGACCTGTTTGTAAAGAAATAAAACATACAAATACACACAAAAAATCTGAAATAATACTGAAGAAATAATGGCTGACTGCTGAAATAATAAAAAAAAAATCTCATGCTTGTGATGCTTTCCGTTTACATGTATTAAACAATAGACGCCTCAACATTTTTTTATATATATTTTTTTGCCAGTTCCAATTAACAGCATGATTTTGTTTCCAGCAGCTTTAGTATCCTTGCCCATCGGATGTAAAACATTTTGAATAACGTCAATTATGCAAGTGATGGTCTTTTCCATATGGGTCACGAGGCTCCCGGCGCATGTAGCATTGAAGCTAATTAGTAATGTACGTTGTCTGAGTGTACGTAAAGGTGAGTGGAGTGAGTTATGTTTGTGCACAGAGGTCACCGCTCTAAATAGGACAGCCACACGTGCTTACATACACGCAGAAAACACATGGACACGAGGCCAGACGGTGATTTATCGTGCTACTGCTCGCGCTGAATCAATTGGAGTGCGATCTTTGCAACGTTTGATCGGTAGAAGTGGCATAGAAAACTGGGCGGACTGTATACGGCGCTATAACACAGATGCTGTTTGTTTCCCATTTACAGTTAAAAAAAAACACATTGGAATGTACAGTATGTGCGGAAAAAACCTAGAGACAATAAAACATCAGAGAAGACAGAAAAACACTATAGAAAAATGTTGACGTTTAAAGTAGCCACACTATGCACCCGTATAATAAGTCTCCAGCCTGAGTCCTGGATCTACAGCCTGTCTATCTGTGGGAGTGGATCCTTCTCAGGTTTCCTCACTGAGTTTTTTCTAAGTGGGATTTGTTTAGTCTTTCTTTGCTGATGCAGGAGGGTCTAAACACACCACAACACACAATTTTTTACATCTGTTTAATGATTCAGACTTGATTATCTCTGAGCCAGGTCTTTAAGCTACACTCCCGCACAGAAAATTTAAAAAACATTTATAGAAACTTATTAACATTCATGAACATTGGTTATCCCACTCTCTATGGATCAATTGCTGCTATGTGTTTGTTATTATTGTTCGAACAGTTTGATTCTCTGATCGGTTGTTGAGGAATCGACAAATGTGTAAAGTCGTCCAAGATGACAGCAGTTGTGATTTAGGGCTATACACAAATACATTGAATTGAACCTTCTGTCCATTCATCCATTTACTTCTGCTTTATCCATGCCGGGTGGCAGCAGTCTGAGCAGAGACGCCCACACTTCCCTGCCCATGCACACTTTCAACATCCACTTAATTATGAGTGATTTTATTTCATCCCAGTCCCTAATCTTACATAAACAATATGTATTATGTAAAGTATATAATTGATTGACATTCCGCTCTTTTTCCTCCACAGGTCTTGGGTCCAATGACGATGGCCCTCTGCCCAACCAGGCTGCACCCATCAAGAAAATCACCAAGGACAAAGGTTTGAACATAACTTTCACATGCATCAAATGTTGGCCTCTGTTACATCAGATTTTAGAGACAGAAAAGTGAAAGAGCCAATCTGTTGTCAGCCCAAAGTGTCAAATAGTGACTCAAAGGGTTTAGAAATACAGGGATTACTGCAAAAGTCCAGTCTTATCTCAAAGCACTGTGGATTTTAATGGAGAACTTGCCTCAAACTTGAATTCCTCAAGTGTACTTTGCACATGACCCTAGCTCAGTGTTTCCAAACTGGTGGTACGTGGACTCCTAGGGATATGCAGCGGTATTACAGGCGATACTTTAAAAACATTTTTTACCAGCAGCATAATACGGGCTTTAGCATATTACACATCATTTTAAAGACAACTCTCTCAAGAAAACAACCACACCAATTATTTATTTTCTAAACATTGGACTTTGAATTCTTAACGATTATTGATCTGTAGGGGTGCAGTTACCAGACTTTCTTACTGTTGGTCCTGTTTTGGTTCATTCAAAATCCAAAACTCAACTTAAAGATTTGCAGGTATGAAAGAAAACACCTGAAACATATAAACAATAAATTATGATATACTGAAAATATGCAAATGAGGAGTTATTAGAAAACTTTGATCAGAGAAAATGAATGGATACTTTGGTTTAACAGTGCAAGCTAAAGAAAGTAATTAAAGTTTTTTTTATATAGCGCATTTTACGGACCAAGGTCACCAAAGCGCATTACAATTTTTGAGCGTTCAGATATTTTTCCATTCCCTCCACACAGTGATGACGGAAGCGAGAACAAAAACAGTTGTGGATAAGGATCAGAATGAGTTTGACTCCTGGGTACGTGAAACACTTTTCCCACATAACAATAATGGGTGCGCGTCCCCCGTCCATAAGGTTGTGGTTCCCAATCTGTGCATAGGCCAGAACAGATTGGGAACCACAACCCTATAGCTTCAAAACAGAAATCGCAATAGTTCTCTAAAAAAAACCACAATTACAAATATCTTTCCGATCCTGTAGCCCTCAGACCACTCCACCAATTAAGACGTTAATCTAAAAACATGTACAAACTCAGCTCCACGTAACGAAACAACAGACTCATATCTACACGTATTATCGTTCCTGTAAATACAACCCCACGACGTAGCATTACAAATTATCCAAAGCTCGTCAAAAAACAAAAACAGCAGGATGTTCGGGTATCGATCAGCTGTCTGCGGCCGCATCAATCACGCAGGGTATAAGTAAAGTAGAGATGGGGGGGGGGAGGGGCTAAAAGGGGTGAGTCGGGTCAGCCGCTAAAAGCATGGACGTGTAAGCTCGCCGTGTGTTTTCAATCTCTCGTGCGCCATAACAATACTCCATCTGTGCATAAGTCCTCTGCAGGCGTCAGCAGCATCCAGGACCTTTCAAATCAATAAGAGCAGAAAGTCCGGCAAAGGAAGACGCAGCAAAAAAAGCTACTTAAAGAGAGACGTAGTGTGCGGCGGGCGGCGGTGGTTATAATCTATGACACCAGTGAATCATTCTTATGCATTTTTGAGCATTTTAACTCGTGATATTGATCTGTAATGATGGGATGATAGATAGGGGCTCGCAGATCTCCGGGTTGATAATGGTGCTGCTGGTTTCTGAGCAAAGACAAGGGGACTGCCCAAGCTTTAGCCACTTAAATGAAAGAAAACAATTATTAATAATGGAAAACAATTGAAAAGTTTATGTGCAAAAACTCATAAAAACGGATAGAAATCTAATTTTTTAAGTTATATACATCTTAATCAATCTACAATCTTCAACTTTGGTATTTTCACTAAAGAAATTGAGTTAAACTTTTGATTAATACAAGAAAAAACAAAAGGAAAACCCAATCTTTTTAAAAATAAAACAATATTCTTCCAAAAGCACCTGCTAAGCTATGGACCTAAACGTTCACATTTAAACTATACCATCATATTAAAACCAGTCTAATAAAGAGACAATAAGCAAATAAGTCTGCTCTCATTTCAAATAAATTGGACAAATTTAACTCCCTTAAAGTTTGCGCTTGTTAGCCATTTTAACTGAATCCGATGATGCTTGTTGTTGTTGCAATCTTGTAGAAAAGCAGTGATAAACGAGGATAAATCTTAAATTGGGTCGCGTTGTGATGGGTGAGAGCAGAAGTGAAGTGTTTGCACAGGACCAAAGGGAATACGCCCACAGAGGTCATTATGGCCCTGATCCGCCCCATACGTCAGGAGCAGCACCAGGAGGAGGATAGTTTTCTAAATAAACATTACACTGAGACACATTCAGATTTGTTTTTGTGGTATTCATAAAGGTCAGTAATTAGATCATCTGTTTTATTGAGGGGGGGGGTTTGGGTTGCAAAAAAGAGCTGGGTTAGTCTATTATGTTGGTAAAATCGGCCTCACTGATTAGACGTGATCGAACGCAGCTTTTTGAATAGAACGTTTTACAGACAGCCAGGAAATCCTTTGCTCTGACCATAGACATTTTTAGTAGTTACTTAATGATGTCAATAGGAGCGATGAGCACTTCCCTATTGAGCCTCATTGAGCTAGAGGGTTAGCATTGTCCATCTGTATACAGTCGAAGGTTCTGACTAGGGCTGGGCGATAAGGCAAAAAAGTAAAATCTCAATTTTATTTCCTGCTTTGGACGATTTTGATTTAAATCAATTTTCATTCAAGTCACTTTGCCCTTGAAATTATTTGTTGATCTTTCCGCTCAATATTCCAGTTTCAAAACAATTTTTAATTTGTTTCTCCCAATATGTATTTTATAAGTCTTGTACAGACTGTGCTGATATTGCAAGTATAATTCATGTGCTGCTTGAACTCTCACAAAATCCTTCATTCGATTTCCAGATTTTCACATTTTTCACAAATTCGATTTTTTTCAAAAGCCGATTAATTGCCTAAATTTGATTTATTGCCCAACCCTAGTTCTGACAACATCCTTTTTGTTCTGCAGTGTCATAAAAGCATTTTGGCTTCATGAGTGTCAGCAGTTTCGGTGTCTCTGGGTGTCTTAATGCTACTTTAAAGCTGGGGTACCTAACTTCCAAACCACAACAAAATGACCTCAGTAATTAAATCAATCTAACTAGTTCGTCACTCTCAGCCCAAAGAGAGAGAAAAAAGACATATTGTGGTCTTATTTGTTCACAGCATTTCACAGCTTTAATGTACATTTGAACAATATCAATTCTCAAATGTATTGAAAAACAAAAGACCCAAAATGCAGGAATGTTAAAAATACATATATTTATCAAATACTGAATTGAATCAAAGCAAAAGAAGGTTTCTCACCCATCATCTGTGAGGATGGGTGAGAAGGGTGAGAAGGGAAAGGACTTCAGGGAAGAAGTCCTTTGGATTGAGGACGAAACGTCGGTAAAACTTACTAAGAAGTACAGATGATGGGTGAGAAACCTTCCTTTGCTTTGACTAATCCCTGTACGACTGAGGGTTTACACAAACGTACTGAATTGAATGTCCAAAGTGAAAATCCAACTCAATAAAGTACAAACCGGGGGAAAAGACACAGACTAAGACATATACTAAAGACAATGGACCAGCAGCAAATGAACACAGACAGGTGACAGGAGACACAGGTGAGAAAGTAAAAAAAGTCATGCATAAAACAAGACCTGAAGAGAACTGAGGTAATAAAAACCAAGAACCAAATAACAAAAATCCACAACATTACTCATTCAGCACATTATTTATATCAAACTGGTATCAAGCTTTTAGGGAAGTCCATAAAAGTGCTAATATATAACTAAAGGCAACAACTAAAAGATAATATTTTCTGTATAATCCTGATTGATGCAGATTGAGTGAATGTTGGCGATCGGGGAGTGACACCCCAAACAAACAGCTACAAATGGAAGTGCGTACGCGTGTGCTTTAGAGTGCATCTTAATCAGGGGTAATTTCACACCAGACTTAACTCCCAAAGAAAAGACGGATCCAGAGGGAGGAATGAGAAAACGTGAGGAATGTAGTGGAAGACGTGAAAGTAGGGACAAGGCACCACCGTAGAGCGAGGGGACTAGAGAGATATGGATTCTGCCGTCTTAGAATAGTGGCTGCCATATTGGATTTCCAAAAGAGCAATAATCTCAAAGGAATTTATGTAAACATGGTTGTAGACACTTCCTCCTTAAGTACTATTGGTATATTATTGGCCCAATCCCAATAATACAAAAAGGTATTTGTATGTATTTTGTTTTTATCATGTAGATATATGTGTTTTATTCCATTACAGTTTCATTGTTTTAAGGTTTTTTTTGTCCCTATGCTACCACCAGAGGAATTTGTTAAGTTTTGAGAAAGATATACGTTATTATCTCACCTTTTACTGGCTGCAATTACTGCCATGTCATTGCAAAGATTGTAATTTCACTTGAGAAATACACAATCAGTCTTTTTAAACATACGTATAAACATATTTATTCAAAATCTGAAATTTTTCTGAATAAAAGAAGATTTTTGTCATCCCTTCACAACATGGCTGCTGCTATTGCATATGTTTCTATACGTTACCCTTCCTGCACCTCTCTCTAGCACCTTGCTTTGCTCTATATTGGCCCCAGTGTCTAATCCCTTCACTTATGCACGTCACGGCTCCAATACTAACGAGGAGCAGCTCAATCATCCCTCTGTCGCCTCTGCACCTGCAAAACATCCTCCATCTCCAACAACATCACGAGAAAGCAGCATTTAAGGCTTAAAAATATCAATTAACATGCACAGAGGTCAGGCAAGCGGCGCCGAGTCAACTGCCGGTAATTGGACTGAAGTGCTACTGCTTCAACAATGAGTTTCCATATTTTTGTAACATGTTCAACTATACCTGGCAGTTCCTGTCACTTGTGTTGACCCCTTGGTGATTGTTAGACAAGGAAGAGGAAAGAGAACAGTTTATGATCTAATTCAGAACTAGTGGGGGAGGGTCGTGGCTCAAAAAGGTCCATTAGCACGTGCACTAACGTGCTTGTAATCTGGCTCCTTGCCGGAGGTAGTGTACCCGGAAACAGAATACATTCTTATGGCGCCTGTTCTCCTATCAAAAACAGCTTTACCACCTGGTCCAAAAGTCGGCCCTTGGCTCAACGCTAACTTCCAGATGTGTGTCAATGCTGAGGAGAGTTTTTTGTTGTTTTTTTTTTGACCAGTCTAGCTTTTTTGCTGTGGACTTTTGAACCACGCATTTTCTCAGCCATGTGTTAGGCTGGATCCATGATCTAACGCATGCGCAAATGATACAGCCTCGAGGCAACCAGTATATGCCATTGGGCCAATGGCATTGGCCCCTTCCTACACCACCAACCATTCACACACCCACCAGACTCATACTAGGCAAATAGGGTTAAGTGTCTTGCCTATGATATTCCTGGTGTTCCCAAAGGTCTCCCATCACAGTACTAACCAGACCCTGCCCCGGATTAAAGAGACCAATTAATACACTCATAATTGTGTCCTGGGTTTAATTTTAACAATTGAATAAATTGTGTTTTTTTCTTGAGAAATTTGACTTTCCAATCATGTATAACATGCCATAGTCATCGGTATTGAACTTTTTCGGTATTGCACTAAAATGTTTTATTATCATTTATGTAAAAAACTTCTGCTTATTGTCCAGATCATACAGTAACTGCAAGCAGCGTCAAGTATTTTTTATTAGTTTTGGAAGTTTGTAATTTAGGTATCATGACAAAACTAGATGATTTATTACCTGAATAAAATTGTCATTATTCCTTCTACTTTGAATAAGTTTACGAGCGACAAAAGCAACGTGTCAATAATATCATCGATATAAGTGGTTGTATTATGTGTGTCCTGCCTCGGCTCCTGCAGATGGGGCTGAGGCTGTTTCTTGTCGTCAATACCTTTTGAAAATAACAGTTTATTTGTGCTTTGTCCAGTTACTTTTATATTCTGAGTCAGATGTTGTCCTTGTTAGTATTATTGTGACATATGTCTTTCTAGAACCACTACTTTATTTGAATGTTTTGTTCCTCTGCAAAACATACATCTGTGTAAAAACTGATTTGGATTGTGAATGTTTTGTCCAGTAAATTAGAGAAATAAAGGATAATATTGAAAAAACTTAATGCGACACAACAAAACAATCCTAGTCATTTCTATTTAATTTTGTATGTGTTTTTTTCTGCATGTACGTAGACATGCAGACGTACTGTTGTGGGGAAATGAAAAACAAAACGCCTTGTATGAGTTAACACCGTGACATTGTCTGTGATTAACACCTTTTATATGAATGATTGTGATTGTTGTGTTTTCAGAGGAGCTGTCTCTGGGCCAGACTCTTCCTCCGGGGTTTCCTGCTCCTTTCCTGTTCGCCGACGGACTCTCGTCTGTGGAAACTCTACTCACCAACATACAGGTAATGGTCTTCTAATATTTATCAATGAAACCAGCATCTTATCTAAGAAAAGAAAAGATACAGCGTGAGATACAAATTAGTGAGGTTGCTTAGAATCCATCTGAATGATGTAGATACTTTAAGGCAGGTCAAACACTGAACATTAGAATATGTTTTAAAAGTTCAGTTATTTCTGTAATTAAACATAAACATGTAAAACCGATATGATATAAACTCATTACATGCCAAGCCTTAATGTGTTATAAAGTTTGTGATTATGGCTTACTGTCCATTTTCTAAATAGTCTAATAATGTGTAGATGTTTTACTTGAGCCAATTATCAATATTACAACAGACTTGATTGATCTCACACTGTGTGTAAGGAGTAGGTCATGAATTATTTTCAAATTTTAAGTTGAATTACAGAAGTAAATGGACTTTTGAACCATATTCTGATCTTCTGCTTATTCTTTTTAGTGTTTACTATGTGGTATAGTTGTAATTATTTATTTATAACTCACATTTAGAATTGAAGAACAAATACAGGATTTCACATGTTTTCTTATCAATATGCATTTTCAAAAGAGATTGGAATATGTTTGGTTCCATCCCCCTCTTACTCATATAACACAAAGCATGCACATACACACACACACACACACACACACACACACACACATACACACACACACAAACATACACGTACACATACACACACACGGGCAAACACTCTCTGACCCTACACCCTACATCATGTGATCCAGCGCCTCTCTGTCCCAGGCCCAGTCTCAGTCTCTCTTGTATTTGCGCTGCAGGGGTTGTTGAAGGTGGCGGTGGAAAACGCTCGGGTTCAGGACAAACAGATCCAGGCCGAGAAACGAGAGCTGAAGATGGAGCTGTTCAGGGAGCGAGAGATGAGGGAGAGTCTGGAGCGGCAGCTGACCTCCGAGCTCCAGAGCAGAGGTGACACACATTCATTCAAACCAACCAATACTTGTCTATATCATTTTGACTTAATAAATGCTGTGTCTGGACAAACCAATGCAGTACAACGAAGGAATTGGTTCTGATGACAATGACAGTCATTGGTGATGTAACCGTATCTCGGGAGTAAACACACAGTGCAGGTAGCGAAGGGTGAACAGTGATATAGAGGCATCACAGTACAAGATTTCATACTTATTTGTGAAAAAAGTAAGTTCACAAAAAAACCCAGATGCAAAAGATGAGTTATAAACAATCGATCCGCAAATAAAGAAAAACGGAAACAGAATTATCCAGTGCAATCTTATGACACTGTGTTGAGTATTTTGAGTTTTTATTTATTTTTTGGACCAGCCTAGTTCAGCCACTGTGGACTTTTGACTGCACTCGTTAAATGGATGGGGCTCGTGCCGACTAAGTCATGCGCAAATGCGTTTTTTCACATTTTCCTGCGGGAGAGGCCACTTTCTGCCATTTTGAAAAAATTAGGGTGAGTTTCAACGGCGGAAATAGGCGTCACTACGTCCGTTAATGTTTACAGTCTATGTGTGGCTTGCTTTCCTCTCCTTTCCGTCTTAATAACTATTCCCATCAACATCCATGAAGGCTAACTAGTGGGCTAGAAATTGTCCTAAGAATCTTCAAAGTAAATCAGTCGTCCGTCAGTAGATCCAAAGAAAAACCCATCTCACTGCATATCTGTCTAAAATGACTTGTGTTCCGCTTCCAGCCTCAATCCAGAAGCGTCTGAAGAAAGAGAAAAAGGCCAAGAGGAAGCTGCAGGAGGCGCTAGAGTTTGAGTCCAAGAGACGTGAGCGCGTGGAGGACGTCCTGAAGCACTCCTCCTCCTCCTCCCCGTCTCCGGAGCCGCATCACAACAACAAGAACGGTACCAAGTGTGAAACTATAATCATCAATGTCACCTCATAATCAAACTACAGACAGAATCAACACAGACAAAAAGAATATGTACTGGAAATGGGTGAAAAACGTTTTGTGATGATTGTGTAATTTATGATAGGGCTGTGTGTCTTTAAGAGCCTATAAGTACGTATAGATACAGGGGACTTTCAATTCTCTTCGATTCGATACAATTCAGTAAAAATAACAAAAATACAACTTAATTGGTGCATTTGTCTTGAAGAATGATTGTTGAAAAATTTTCTGTTTTGGGACTATACAATATTTTTGTGTAAATACAAGCGAAACATCCAAAAAAGAAATCATGAATGAATAATATAAAAAAATTCTATATTCTACACCCCCATACTTAATCTTTCAGGCAGGAGTACCTTTGTCTTTAAGTTCATCTTGTGAGTCCAAACTTAAAGAGTCTTAAAGTGACATATTGTGAAAAGAGCTGTTTTTATCTAGAAAACATTTGATCTGGTACATACACAGACTGATTGGCTGTAAAGTGTTTTTTTTTTCACTGAAAGCTGATCTATAGATGTGAATAAAGGCCAAAAAAATACTATTTTGAGAGCTTGGAACTTGTTACCAATACATGGATATAAAATGTCGTATTTTTCACACTATAAGGCGCACCAGATTATTAAATGCACCAGATTATAAGGCGCATGGTTGAATTTAAAGGCTTTTATGTGCGACTAATAGTGCAAAAAATACAGTATTGTTATGTCTTGCAGTTTTAGAGTTAAGTACTCTTAGCTTATATCCTTAGAAAATATTGGAAATATCATTATCGCAAAACACCCCACTAAGAAATGGATGAAGACAAACTTTGCCACAGTGGTAGTTTACTGCATCTCCAGGTAGGATTAAGATTAAGATTAAAAGATCCTTAATTCGTCCCACAGTGGAGAAGTTTCAGTGTTGCATCACAAGTTACAGAACAGTAGGAATGAGAAGCACACAACACAAGATAAATGACTAATAACTCTATACTTAAATAAAATAAAATCTATAACTCTAGCATACAAAGAAGCAGAATACAATCTCTATCTTTAGCATAATAAGGGAAGAAATCTAAAATCTCCAACTTTAGCATGATGAAGAAGTGAGATTTAAGTACAAAAACCTCTGACTTTAGCAGAATAAGAATGTTTTTGATGTAGTAAGATTGTAGCATGGATAGATATAAAAAGCCCTTTTGCAAAATACTGTCCTTGTTAATCTAAATGTCTGTCCACGGCTAATGTCTTGTGGTCATACATTAGCCGTGGACAGACACAGGGCTGAGTCCCCTCCCCCACGAATGAAGGCTTCTGATTGGTCAATCTTTATGGCTCAATATCTGGATTTACAATATCAATATCAAAAATATAATCATAAACAGTTACTGGGCTGGAGGAGTTTACTTTCCAATCCAAGTCAATTGGAGTCGTAAGCCAGAGCGAGTTGGAGCAAGACTTCATCCACGAGCACTTCTCTATCACTCTTCATCGAGCTAGCGAGTTAAGCGTCGTTCATCTATATATACAGTCTATGTGTGTGACCTTGTTTTTCAGTTTTATTTCTCCGCATGCGTTTGATTGGCCTCACGCTGTCTCTCTGTCATTGTTGCAGACTCGAACGGAGCCGACGAGACACTGGAGCTTAATGGGAACAAGCAGGACGCTGACAGCATTCAGGGTAAAGCCAATCGCCCACTTCTGAGAAAAAGACCTTATTTTGATGTTAAATACCTGGAATGGTGTCCGGGCCTCCTGCAGGGATGAACAGAATTAAGTCTGGGAACATGATTTTTGTATTTGCCAAAGGAAATAGATGCGGCTGTTAATTTGTCTAATTAGAATTTATGCACAAAGCCACCCAGAGTCAGGGAAAGGCAAGTTTATTTGTGTAAACAGCTAAACAGGAGTGTTTTTAACCTGGATTTGAATATAGTCAGAGAAGAAGCCTGTCTCACATTTTCAAACTTAACCAGACTTAAAGCTGGAGTATTTTCAAACCACAAAAAATGTAAATGTGTGATGTAATCCATGTACATGTAACTAGTGGAGGTTCCAAGTTTGCTTCTATTATATCCCTCAAAGGCGTTGTAGATTTGCAACAACTCAATTTCTTTTTGCCCAACTACTCCACATCCATATTTTTTACTCAGAATTATTGCCGCTGGACTTAGTTGAGCTTCAACAACACACAGTTGTCCACCTGCTCACCAGGGGGCGGAGCTGTCTCACTTCCAAAATGTCAGTCTCCTTAGTTTCACCAAAACTGATTTTCTAGGCATCAATTTATTTATTTTATTTTATTTATGTATTTATTTTGAACCTGCACAATACATATTTCAAGTCAGTATCACTACCATCCTCAAACTGCATGAAATGAAAGATGAATATATATAGATACAAGTACACGCCCATTAGTAGCGTTTATGACCTCTGGGTTTTTCCCCAGGTTAGCTCCATTTACCAAAGCGGACCATCTATATGTATAAAAGTCAGGATTGTATATTATTTCATATGATAATTTTCCCCAAATATCAGATCTTTCCTGTCGTTCAAATGTAATTGCACCTTGAGAAGGATTTACCATTTTGTACTTTCGGCCTTTGTCACATCTTTGAATCAGCTTTTCACCTCCCTCACTCAGATAATTTAGCTGAAATAGTAACTCACAGGGCTCCTTAGTACAAGTATACTCAAGATAACATGTTTTCTAACAAAAATTAAGGCAGTATAATAGATGAACAGAATGGTGATGGATGCTTACTGTTATGTATCATTAAAGGGAATAGAAAATATATCCAATATAGGACCATGGTCTGAACTATACAAATATTCATAAGACATAACACTGAACATACTGTACATGGAGAGTACCATTGCTCCCAAACGTAGACCAAAGTCTTGTGCTTGTTGTTGTAGACACATGTTGTCCAGGTGCGCGGCCCCTTTGATTACTGGGACATTAGGCAGAGAGCGGAGTGAGGGGCCCCTTCTCAAAAAAACTAAAGAAATATTTTTTTGCTTTTTTCTTTCAAATTTTCTATAACGTCTCCATAAAGATTCAAATGCAGTTTTCATAATGTTTAGAATTATTATGACGTGATACAATAAAATATTATTGTTTGGGGAAAAGACATTCCTAAGTAAAAAAAGCAACACAAAAACAGTTTTTTTAGCTGAATTCATAAACGTTCCAATGTTAGTGAAAATAATAGGAACATTCATCGACTACAAAAACTTAAGACAGTTCAGCTTTTATTGTAATTAAGTTTTATAATGTTTAACCGTTGCATTTAAAGCTGGGGTACCTACATTTGCTCCTTTTTAACTTGTCCAGGGAATGCTTCTATAGATCTTTCTTTTACACTTGGATCTCATTGACCCGCCACAGTGATTCAAAAATGCCCTTAATATCTTTTTTCAAGCTGAAATGGATCTTTTAGACCCTTTAAACTAATTTAGGGCATTTTTCTTCTACTTTTAATAATTTGTGGTGGGTAATGTTGACCCACGGGTAGCACAAGGGTTAAGTGATAAACAATAGTGAGGGTTTCAGTAGAGTTAAAGCTGGGGGACCTAACTTTCAAATCTCTACCATATTAACTAGATCATAAAAAGTACTTTTCCGCAGTTTTTCTTAAACTTATGTTCCATTTAATGACAAGGGGTTTTTACACTCTTGTCATGTGATGGTCAAAACACTCTGGTTAATCCAATTTATTTTGACAATAAATCTTCCCATCCTTATTAGAACTCTAGTTTTAGTCGAAATAATGTTATATATAATAATTTTCTTTTTTTTTTTAACCAGAGGACATTCTCACAAAATGAAGATGCATACATTGGTCTCAGGGATCAAAGAAATTGAAAAAAGTAGCGGCTCATAGTCCAGCAATTGGTGCACTTTAGGGCTGAAACAACTAATCGATTAATCGACGACTAATCGATTATTGAAATAGTCGACAACTATTTTAGTAATCGATTAATCGTTTTCTGGTTCACACGGACTCAAACAGAGCAAAAATGACATTAAAATGTAGTATTTTTGATTAAAACCGACTTTGTTTTTATAATTTAATGAATATCTGTCTGTCTCATCCAATCAGATAGAAGAATTAGCACAAAGAGCCTGTTACAAACATTTACTTTAAGTTTACGCCATCAATACGTCCTCGAGTGTTGCCACTTTAGCTTTTTGTGATCAAAAAATATTTTTTTTCTACACAATTCACAGCCAAGCGATTACTCGATTAATCGTAAAAATAATTGATAGATTAATCGATTACAAAATAATCGTTAGTTGCAGCTCTAGTGCACTTCCCTCTTCCCAGTTTGGTTCTATCTCTATCACAGTTTTTCTGGTCTGTGTCATTTTTAGATCAGCTTTTTCAGACAGAAACGTGACTAAGTTTTGTTATAATGTGAGCATGTAGCGGCCTGATTTGTTCTTTGTCTCTTTCTAGTCCAGTTTTCTTGTGATCCAGGTCGCTACTTTTGTCCCGTTTCATTTGATTGTTGTTTGGATCAGATACCACTGTGGATTCCAGGAAAGAATACTGAAGTACAATAGTAACTTTCCACCTGCCTGGGAGTCACTATTGACAGTTTGTGCTGAGAGCTGATTGGCTGAGTGAGGGTGGCCCAAAAACAAAAAACGTATCTAAAGGTGTGACCGAGGCATGTAGCGGCCTGATTTGTTCTTTATCTCTTTCTGTTGGGACAAATGGATGCATGGGGCGTAAAAGTTACATACCCCAGCTTCAACTTATTTATCTGAACTTTTCCGTATTGTTTTTTTTATTCTTTCCTCATCATCGAGCACCAAACGCACCATAAACATTCAAAATCACGTGCGTTCATCATTAAAAACCGTTTAAAACAAACTCCGGACCTCTGATAAGTCCGGAGCCCCTTTGCCTGTGGGCGTATGGATCCTACGAAGGCGGCTGTGTCATTATCAGCGTTCAGAGGTGAGAAAGAATTGTGCCAAGCCAGCGCTAACTCTCCACCTGACTCCATTACTGCTGATTGGCCCAGTAGGACCCTCAGACCTGTACTACACTGTTAATTAACAATAGAGACCAGAGAAAGGAGGGGGGGAGGTAGTAGAGGAGTGTGGGGGTGAAAATGCTGATTACCGGAGAATACGCTAGTTTATTGTTGGATCATTCGACCAAAGGGTTTTTTCACCTGAGAGAGGGACGACTTCACTGTTTGCGTTTAGATCGGCTGAAGTGCAATTACTACCGCATTCATACAAGTATTTAAGCCAGGGGTGTCCAAAGTTTCTAGTGAGAGGGCCACTTTAGTTCACCAGACTTGTCCATGGGCAGACAACCTGGATTTTCGAACAGTGTTGATTGGCTGTACCGGGCTTTTAAAAGAATGAGTATGATGCGTCCATATTGATAGTATATTGTCAGTATATACGTACTAATAGAGTTGACGACTTCATTCCAAAAGTTTCTGAGCTTTTTAATGAGGTACAGCATGACTATATTGGTGAGGCTGAAGTTGGCTGGATGACACTGTCAATGTGCTTCAATGGCTATGTTATGTTAGCGAGGTAGAGGGCCACATGAAATGACAGTTGGCCGCATTTGGCCCTCAAGGCATAGGACGGCACTGATTGAAGCTGGATAGAATTAACAGTGTCTTTGTCAAGTCTGTTAAAGTTAGATTCTTAGATCTTGAGGTGGGGACGTAGGAAGAGGTTTACTTTTTAGTTCAGTACAAATCATTGTTGCTATAACAAAAATCTTCTTGTTGTCTAACGTAGCATCCTCGGTTACTATTATGCAACATAAAGTTCAACAGTTATGGCAAAAGAAGTATATAGTAACTAATATCATTTGGTGCGAGGCCATGGAGAGACTTAAGCAGAGCTGTTTTAAAGTCTATTCTCTGAGCCACAGGAAGCCAGTGCAGAGACCTGAGAACTGGACTAATATGGTCGTACTTCCTGGTTCTAGTCAGGACTCGAGCTGCTGCATTTTGAATGTACTGCAGCTGTTTTACAGCCTGTTTGGACAGACCTGTGAGCAGGCCATTGCAGTAGTCTAACCTACTGGAGACAAATGCATGGATAAGAATCTCCAAGTGCTTCAGAATACTGAAGTACAAAAGTGACTTTCCACTTGCCTCTGAGTCACTATGGACGTATCTAAACATGTGACAGTGAACTATTTTTAGTTGGATTTTATTTCATTATTTTGTTTTTAATTTGCGTAGCTCAGCTTTAGTTCAACACTTTATAATTTTCAAGAGGAGAAATGCCTGCTTGAAGTCTTACTTTTTTTACAATGCAAACAAAAACGCAACAAAATGCTTTTATGCTCTTGTCTTTTTAAGTTTTTATCAGATGGTGCAATAACAAATAATACAATAGTCAAAAATAGATACCAACTCTTAATAATACAATTCTTATACATTTGTACATACCTGTATATGTACTGTACAAACACACACACATTAAGATATTTGTCATTACAAAATAGGAAAATGTGCTTGTATGAGAGCTGAACTACTATTCCTACAAAAAAGCTTTATAAAACATGAAAGGAGCGATAGTGTGCTTCTTTAGCTGTGCCGTGTAGAGTTGATGTGGGCGCTGGGTAAAAAGAGGCCACTGCAGAAGCAAAAAAGACAGAAGTGAAAAATGTGCCCCTGATTCTCGACCTGGTGACATTTCCTCTCGGCTGATCGACTTTTAACAAGCCGCGCACCGGCAGGTCACCGCCATTTTTAACCCAACAACCCGATCCATACGACATCCACACAAACACAGAGGAGACACAGGGAGGAGGGAGGAGGCTTGGTGTGTAGGCTTCAGAGGGTGAGAAGGAAGGAGACAGGAGGAAAGGAGGGAGGAGGCCCAGTGTGCAGACTTCAGAGGGTGAGAAGGGAGGAGATAGGAGGGAGGAGGAAGGAGGGAGGAGGCCCAGTGTGCAGGCTACAGAGGGTGAGAAGGGAGGAGATAGGAGGGAGGAGGAAGGAGGGTGGAGGCCTAGTGTGCAGGCTACAGAGGGTGAGAAGGGAGGAGATAGGAGGGAGGAGATTGTAGGGGGGAGGCCCGGTCTGCAGGTTCCGGCCAGTGAGGAGGGAGGAAGCAGGAGATATAAGAGGGAGGAGATGGAAGGAGGCCCGGTGTGCTTTGGTTTTCAGGCTCCGGGGATGAGGCCCTGCAGATGTTGCAGTTCAAACAATTACAGTATGACAAAACCCAAAACAAAAAAGTCAAAGAATTACAGAATGAATGGTTCCATCAGTCTGCACTAACAAGCCCAAGTCTTTTCTACTTTTTCTTTAATTTTGGTTCAGTCCAAGCATGTCATTTAAAGTATTAATCGTAGTAATAAAAGCACTCTATTGGACAAATATGAGTCAAAAACCAACAGAAATCAGTAAATACTAAAAACAGTGATATTCCCGATCTGAAAACAAATACATGCTAGCTCTGTCCACTGGTCTAATTCCAGGCAGTTCTTTAACTTTGGAGTGTGTTATAAGCACGAGCCAAAGCCTGGGCCTAAAAGGACGAGGTGGGACAGTAGAGGACACCGAGAAGAATGGTTTGGGTAAAAATAATAATAAAGAGTTTATACTTTACACAGAGGGCGACAGGACGATGCATGAAGGAACAAAAGAGACAACAGCAAGGGCAAGAAGGGGCAGGCGGAGGGCCCTTTGTTCTGGAGGAGAAAAGGGAAAAACACTTGGAAATTGATGCCATAAGAGCTTTATTATTCTAACTTTTTTTTCCATTAATAATGCAGTATGTTTGTAACATTCTGTGAGCAAATCAGACCAAAACAACATGTTATCTTTTGTATACTTAAAAGCTACACCATTGACTCTTTGGGCTGAGAGCTGATTGGCTGATGAGTGTGGTCCTCTCTTTTTCACTTTTCTGTCTCAAAAAGCTGATCTAAAGATGTGACAGAGGCCAAAAATACAGTACATGCATGACAAAACTAGAATCAAATTGTTTCGAGAGCAAGGATGATGATTAGATGGATTTTAGTCCATAGTTTCAAGTTTGTGTGGTTTGAATGTTAGGTACCTCAGCTTTAATACAAATAAATGACCTGCGTATGTACATTTTAATATTAACGGAACAACTTCAATTCCAGATTTTTTTTATGTTTCCAAAAAAGTGTCAAGGAAGTTATAAGTGAGGATCCAGTACAGCTGTTTATTCATAGGAGACATTCAGCAAAATCAAACTTTTTAAGATTTTAACCACAGCACAACATTGTTCCTCAGCAAAGACCAGACCTGCAGTTGTTTTTGGATCCAGCCACTCTAATCAGAGGAACTTCTGGCGCGAACGTGTGACTCCGCCCCTTCTGTCTAAAAAGCTCCAGTCTCAGTCCTGTATTAGTATGATGATCATTTGCCCACTATGATAAAACAGTTGTTCATTATCAGTTTCGTGTGTGACATTTTGATCTTCCCATTTGCATCAGTGTGTTTGCAACTGGTAGTAGTAGTAGTAGTAGAAGTAGTAGTGGTAGTGGTAGTAGTAGTAAAGGGATACTTTGCTTGATACTTATTGCACCCTTTATTTGTACTTAAGTTGTGTTTTCACATTCTAAAGTGTGTGATGTTTTACAGTCTTAAAACATGGAGCTGCAACTTCAAGGATTTCTCTTACTGCGGGATATTTTTAGAACATAACTCTGCAGACTATTTTCAATTCACTTAAACTTTAAAATCACAACAGCAGATGTCTTTGAGGACTTTCCAAAGTTGCCAATTTGCAACGTATGCACCAACAGATCAGAGAACCAAACAGGAAAGGCAATAATAACAAACACATTGAAGCCATCGGTCCATAGGGAGCATGGAATTTATTACATAGTTCATTTTTTGTGTTTTTAAAGTTAGGTTCCCCAGCTTTAAGTCTAGTTTTCTCCTATAGGCTTATCAAAAATCACAAAAAACTAAAATTCACTATTACTCAAAGTGCAAACTCCGGCCTATAATCCAGTTTACTTTAAATAGGTCGCCCCACACTCCGCTCTCCTTTGTCATCTTTTTTTATCCAGTCTTTGAACGTATAAAAAGCCGCACATAATAAAAGCAGAGGGCAAAAGGAGGCGAGCGCAGGACGGAGGGCAGGTTTATGGCTGCTGTTATGCACAAATGTAAACGCTTTGCCGACGTCCGCAGAAAACAATGACACCGTGGGGAGAAGGAGCGGGTTATTCGTGTTTGTGAGTGGGCCGGAGCCACGGCACCACAGGGGCCCGGGAAGGAGAGGGGAGAGAGGGGGGAGAGGGGGGGGAAGAGAATACTGCTGAAGCCGGGCTATCGCAGGCTGATAATCAACTTACAACATTTTCGTCTTATTAGTTTGGGTTGAATGTCAAGGAAATTAATTTTGCTCGATTAAAAAAAAGCGCTTCTCAGACTCGGAAGTTCACCCTGTCTCTCCCACTCATCGTTCTCAACATGAATACATTTACAAACACATCTTTTATGCTATTAAATTTTGAGGTGTGATGACCTTAAAACACTTTCCGAAATGTTGATTTAGTATCGGGTAAAACATATGTATTGAAATGTTTTAATTAATTCTATACAATGCCTCCGTTTTTGAGAATCCAAAACCATTCAAGTGACCTGATGAGTGGTCCACCTACCCCTAGTGCTACATGAAGTATTTTGAAGTATATGATTGTATAGATTAAAGTATATGATTGTATAGAATAGGGGTGTCCAACCTGTAGCTCGGGAGCCACCAGTAGCTCGCCAGCTCCTCACTGGTAGCTCGCCAAAGGTATTAGAATTTAACAAATACACTTGAATTAATACTTTTTGAGCCCTTACATACAGTATCTATTGTATAAATATAGAGTTGTACAGTATTATGGTGTATTTTGTATGTGTTCTCCATTTTCCGGATAGATAGAATAGATTAGATAGATAGATAGATAGAATAGTTATTAGATAGATTTTTATTACAACTGCAAAAAGGAGTAGTTCTGTCTCTTCGTTTGTGTAAAAGTAGCTCTCCGATTGAAAAAGGTTGGAGACCCCCGGTATAGAATATTAAAGTTATTACAATACAATACAATACAATTTATTCTTGTATAGCCTTAGGTCACAACAGAAGTCATCTCAGAGGACTTAACAAAACCATTGAAATCACCAACACAGGTCAGAGAATCAACAGTTAAAACACATGAAAAATATAAAGCACACACAGAAGAAAATGTCCATACATGTTGTAGAATGCTAAAGTGTCCTGATCATCACCAATCCTTTCTGTTGGACACTAACTGTCCAACAAGACCCTCCTGCATCGACAAGGAAAAACTCTTAAAAAACCCAGTGGGAAAAAGTGAGAAACCTTGGGGAGAACTAGGGAAAACCACAGGGAGGGAGACCCATATGAGAAAGGGATCCGCTCCTCCGGACGGACAGGCTAATGATCTAGGACCTAAGCTAGCTACAGAACGTGGACCAGTGGCCGCTGAACGTGGACAGGTCCGGTGCAAGACTGAAGCGCTCCCAGGCGGGTCGGGCGGGGCAGTCCGCAGGTGTAGATGGAGGAGGCCAGGCTCAGAGATCCCGTCATCGTACCATGAAACAGACAATGGGACAACGGGTGAATAGCAATGAACAAACTACAGTCAGAATCCTAAAAATGCTAAACAGATTATTCAAGATTATAAAGTAGAGGTTATGTAATCTAATCAATATTGCTCGTGCTTTTTTCTTTTCTACGTTTTGTCACTAATGTTTTTTTCTTTGTGTAAATAAGATGTTACAACACATTAAATAAGAACAATGTTGTCAGGGTCAAATATGGGAGACCTCTGGGTGCATCAGGGGCCACAGTGGGGCGGCTGTGGCTGTAAAGTGCCAAACTGTTGTTGTGTCCTTAAGCAAGACACTTCGGCCACATCGCCTAGAATGAGTCTGATGTGTGTGAGAATGGTTGGTGGTGGCACATACTGGTTGCCTCGCTTCTGCTTGTGTGCCCCAGGGCAGCTGTGGCTTCTGTAGTAGTTTATCACCATGAGTTAGGGTCATGAGAGACTAATAAAAGGTTGTGATGCATTATAAAAAAACTGATAGTAATTTTAATCCCAACTTTTTGTCGTCTTTGCAGAGTCGCGGTCCTTCCTGAAAACTCCCATGATGTTCTAGAGACTTCGCCTCTTCATCACTTCCTGTTTCCTGATTTGGCCCCTCCCCCTTTTTGAACTATTACCACAGAAACGAGCACCCGGATCACCGCGGCGACGAAGTGGGGAGCTCCAACCGTAAAAAAAAAAAAAAAAAAAAACGACTACTAAGAGACGCGCCCTCAAACCTGGACCTATGTATTTTTGAGGAACACTTTCCGAAGACTTTTTGCCACTTTTTTTGGTTAATTTTTTGGAAGAAATTTGACAATTCTTCGTCTACTCCTTCACACTTGAGAGAAGTAATAGGGAAAAAAAACACACCTTAGCATCCTGTTGTTTTTGATTGGATGACACAAAAAATATCCAATCCAATTTGACTTTGCTAGTAAAGAAGAGAAAAAAAACTTGTGGACGCTGTACTGCAACTTTCAGCCACATTCACAACAACACCGGCTGAAAGGCTCTGATTGGACAATAATCACCCAATCAAATGCGCTCAGGACAAGAATAATAACAAAAAAAAGTTAAGAGTTAAATAAATATGAACTATTTGTGTCCTGATTTTCCAATTTTCCAAAACGAGGACCGTCGGAATGCATGAGAAATTCCTCTTTTGTTGTATTCAGCCTATCTCCACCATTCCATGTTTATTTATCTACCAGATATTTTGACTTTTATTCCATCTTTCACCTTTACATCCTCTCCTCGTTCACCCTGAAACGATGCAAACGTTTATAATGACTGTACAATCCTTTTTTTTATGACAATGGAGTGGTTTTAAAACACTGTTATGGATATGCTAAAGTACGTTTGATTTTCCCTCTCCGTCTTTCACTACAGACAAAAAAAAAGTAAAGGATTTTCGCTGTTCGTGGAAAGTTGTGGAGCGTTTGCAGCAGTTTAAGATCAATATGTGGTTGTTTTTAGATGCATCCAAATAGGCCGCACCCCCGCTAAGAACGCTCCGTGTTGAAGGAGGTTGAAGATGAATTTACAGAACACAAAACGGGAAAGTTATGGCTCTCAAGATCATGTTCAAGGGTCAAAAATTACCCACTTCCTCTGCTCATGAAAGTTATAATGATAATATCTAAAATGTCCATTATTTACGTTTTTTTCCATTTGCAGTTAGAAAGAAGATAATACTTTTATTTTAAACAATAATGTGGTGTCGGTGTAGATGTTCTAAGAAGTACTTTCATATCTGACAATAATATCCATTTTCTTCCGCTTTATCCATTGCTGTGTCGCATTTTGAGCAGAGAAGCCCAGACTTCTCGATCCACACACACTTCCTCCAGCTCATCTGGGGGAATCCCGAGGCGTTTTCCAGGCCAGCTGAGAGACACAGTCCCTCCAGTGTGGCCTGGGTCTCCTCCTGGTGGGACATGCCCGAAGCGTCTTCCCAGGGAGGCGTCCCAATCAGATTCCCTAATCACAGCAACTGAACAAGAGAGAGAACCAAGCTCCTCTCGTGTGACTGAGCCCATCACTCTATCTCTAAAATAGCACCCAGCAACTCTGCAGAGGAAAAAAAATTCAACCGCTTGTATCCACGTTTAGATCATTATCCGGTTTGACTCTTTGCCGGTGGTGGCGTACCCAGAAACAGAATTATCCAGTGAATTCATAAGAGACCTTTCATCCTCTCAAAAACGGCTTCACAGCTTGGTCCAAAAGTCGGCTCAACACTACGTCCCAGATGTGTGTCAAGGCTGAGCGGAGTTTTTTCTATTGGACCAGCCTAGTTTAGCTGCTGTGGACTTCAGAAGGCACTCGTTTAATGGGGCTTTTGTCAAGTAATGCTTGGGCAAATGTGTTTTTTTAAGTGGGAGGGGCCACTTGCTGCCATTTTTAATCTGTGTTTTTTGTCACACGTACATTTCAACGGAGGAAATAGCCGTCACTACGTCCGTTAATATTTACAGTCTGTGGTCATTATCCAAAGCTCATGACCAGAGGTGAGGGAGGGAACGTAGATCAACTGGTAAATCGAGAGCTTTGCCTTTCGACTCTCTCCTCACCAGAACAGTCCGATACAGCTCTGACTATAGACGCTGCTCACTCCTCACCATAAACAGTCCGATACAGCTCTGACTATAGACGCTGCTCACTCCTCACCAGAACAGTCCGATACAGCTCTGACTATAGACGCTGCTCACTCCTCACCATAAACAGTCCGATACAGCTCTGACTATAGACGCTGCTCACTCCTCACCACAACAGTCCGATACAGCTCTGACTATAGACGCTGCTCACTCCTCACCATAAACAGTCCGATACAGCTCTGACTATAGACGCTGCTCACTCCTCACCACAACAGTCCGATACAGCTCTGACTATAGACGCTGCTCACTCCTCACCACAACAGTCCTATACAGCTCTCATTACAGACGCTGCTCCCTCTTCACCACAACAGTCCGATACAGCTTTCACTAGAGACGTTGCTCCCTCTTCACCACAACAGTCCGATACAGCTCTGACTGCAGACGCTGCTCCCTCTTCACCACAACACTCCATCTTCACCACAGCAGTCCGATACAGCTCTGACTATAGACGCTGCTCCATCTTCACCACAGCAGTCCGATACAGCTCTGCTCCCATGACAATAATAATAATGATACCTTAAATCCGCAAGTGGCTTCCGAAGGCCCTCACCACATCTCCCAAGGGAGGTGGCGCTAACGTAACGTTCAAAATTATTATGACTGCGTTCAAGTGTTTTTCTAGTTTTCCGACTAAAATCCAAAAGTCAAAACTATACTATTTTACTGATATTACTCTTATGCAGCACTTACAGACAGACAAACCAAGCGCTCCTCTCCATTCCCCGAACAGTCTCTGTCTTTCGTCCCGGGCTTTCGTGATCCTGGTTTTTTGCAGAAGTTTTGTGTTGCAGTTCTGTTGTATAACTGCGTGTTTTGTTCATTTGTTGATAATATTTGACATGTTTTGGGGGCGGTTCTGAGGGGTGGGCTGCAGGGGTGGGTGATGGTGGGTGGGCTCATGGATAAAGGGACCCTCTGTGTAGATAGAAACATGTTATTTCCCTGGTTTCATTTGTTGAGTTGGAGATTTGAGTCTGTCACTGTTGGATTTGAGCTGATGCAAATATACAGTATTATAACAAAGAGCTCAAGAGTCATGATTTATGCACCGAACCAGTCTGCGCTTACACACTGCTAAAAGTGATGAAAACATTTCTCAAATTTGGCCAAATATATCTTAATTTGAGCACATTTTAACTGTCTTATACAAGATTTGTTATACGGACAATGAGCAAAATTATCTAATGTCAGACTGTACTCAGATAAAGCATTTATTATTATCATATATCAATATTTTTTGCAGTGCATTCCTATTATTATTATATTTTCCAATTTAGAAGTAATAGCAGTTACATTTATACAGTGTTTTTCAGACTAAATTGGCTTATTTTTTCACATGCTTTGATCCCTGAGGTTTTTTTACAGCAATGCAGGTAATGTTTTGATTTGTACATGCTAACAGCAGGGGGCGCTCTATCAGGAAGTGGACGGGAGAATGTGCAGAAAAAGACAGAAGTTGCAAGAGCCACGATGAGCTGCTCACACACTTACGGAAAGCTCCAATAAAATACATTTATGAAAGATATTGATTACATCCATAGAAGGTATGCTATATTCAACATGGACAGTGCTAACCCGCTAGCTCAATGAAGCCTAGTGGGGAAGTGCTCATGCGTGTAGTTTTGCTCCGACTTGCTTTGGCTCTATTGACATACAAAAAAATGGACCCCTCTCTATAACTGATCTTTGTCGCACTCACTCATTGTCGTGTTGGTCCTGGTGAGCCCCCGTAACAACCGACCAATCAGGTGCCTTCTACAGGTAATTGCAACTCTTCACAAGACTGTTTAACTAGATATAGCCGGAAAACTGCCTCAGGACAAGACCGGCTCTTCACACCGAGGTGCTGGGTTCCATTCCATCTCCAGCCTCTTTCTGAGTTTGCATGTTCTCCCTGTGTCTGTCTCTATGTACAATAGGTGAGGGTAGAATGCGTGTCCTCCAGTTCTGGTCCTGAAAAAGGAGCTCCTCACATCCGTGGGCGTCGGTTGCTGTACTTGGGTGACCACTGCTCCTGACAGAAGCACGAGTGGCGTTCCAGGACGGGTCAAATGCAGACGATAAAGTTCCCTCCGAGCATAAAAAAGGTGTGCATTTACATTCGCAGATACTGTTACTGTTAGGCAAGGCATTTGTGTATCTGTATAATTCAGTTCAATTCAATGTATTCTTTTATGGTCCTAAATCACAACAGGCGTTATCTCAAAGGACTTCGCCAACACAGTGGCTCAGTTGGTAGAGCATTGGCCTTTGAGCCTGAAGGTCGTAGGTTCGAGCCCACCTCGAGACCTTCTCCACCGACTCCCACTGGTGTCTGCTGTCGTTGTGTCCTTGGGCAAGACACTTAACCCACTTTGCCTATAAGGAGCGCGGAAGTGAAGTTCGCTGCTTGCCTTGATGTCTATGTGTGTACTGTGTATATATAGTGTATGTGTATGCATCAAACTGAAATTTCCCCATTGTGGGAAGAATAAAGGACCTTCTTCTAAAATCAAACACAAGAGATGCCATGATTTCAAAAAAGAAAAAAATTGTGCCATTAGTCCAGAAGGGGCCGAAGACCAATGTCCGTAAATATTGATTAATGTTTAGTTTCATACACAAGAAAACTCAAGGTACTGAACAAAACAAGATATAAACCTCATACAAGACTTCATCACAGTGCATTAAAAAGTCTTTTCAACATTCATTCATTTTTCAGGAAGACTGTTCCGTATTTTAGCTGTGTACATCTGAAATCCTGCATCCTCATGACTACAGTCTTGACTTTGGGCAGCAGCAGGCCAGTCCCAGTGGGTTCAGTTGTTGTACTTTGGTACGAGGCCATGTAGATACACAAAGTTATACTGTTCCTGAACACACACAGTCCCATCCAGAGAGATAACAGATGAAAAGTGAAGTCTGCTCTCTC